GGCGTGGCAGAGCACACAAGGCAGCTCAGCCTGGCAGCTGGCCACCACCCTGCCCCCTCTGAGTGGCACTGCCAGGGACAGCCAGCCCCGGGCAGGGACAGCAGCTCTGGATGAGCACCACAGCCATCCCTGTCACGGGGAGCACTGGCAGCACCTGCTGTGCTCCAGCAGCACCTCCCTGCTGCCGCGGCACCGCCGGAATTACAGGGAGCCAGGCTGCCCCAGGCAGCTGAGAGGAGGAATTCAGAGACCCCGGCAGCTGCAGGAGAGCCCGACGCCAGTGATGCCATCCCAGGAATGTGTTTTGTCCCGCATGCTGGGAGGTGACACATCCGCTGCCTGTGCCATAGGCCTGGTATGCATCCCAGAGCATCCCAGAGCCTCCCCGACTCCCCCTGCCGCGGGGACCTGGCTGGGGACACGCAGGAGGGCACCAGATGGTGGAGCCCTCGTTCCCTGTGTCTGCCCAGCCCGCACAGCGCTGCTGCCGGCTCCAGCTGCGGCAGGCTGCAGGAATGTGGGTCTCCGGGCTCTCTGCAGAGGTATTTTTAGCACGGCAGGCACCGCAGAGCCCCAGGATCCTGTCTGCACCGTCCCCATGGCCAGGCGAGGCTCAGCAGGTGCAGCCCCCCCTGCACAGAGCCCCTGGGTGCCACTGGACCCGTTGGCAGTCAGCTGGCTGTGTGGCAGCACCGGGTGCCAGCAGTGCCATGGAGCCTGCGGCCATGCTCCTCCAGACAGGCCCCAGCTGAGGGACAGATCAGTGCCAAACTCCACCACCCACACGCTCCTCTCTCGAGGCAGAGCCCAGTGCCCCGGGCACCACACGCGGCCTGGGAGTGCTGGCAGTGAGTGACAAGTGACGTGCCACCTACAGCCATGCAGAATGGGCACTGGTGCTTTCCAGGGGCAGCAGGCACCCCACAGAGGGCTCTGTCCCCCAAATGCAGCCCTCACCAGGCCCCAGTACCTCCAGCTTGTGGGAGACCAAGGAGAGAGCGCTGGGGTCGATGTCGGCGGCTGCAAGGACCTCGCTGAGCTCCACCTCCTTCTGCTCCAGGAGGGAGAGGAGGCTGTGCAGCTTGTGCTCCAGGAGCAGGTTCTTGTAGCCCGTTTTTTGCTGCACCTCGTTAATGGCTCTGGTGAAGTTCTGGTAGAGGTCATCCCGCTCCGACTGGACCTGCTCCGGGGGGCAGCACAGTGTCACAGCACCCTCAGGACCCCAGGGGCAGCAGCACAGTGTCACAGCACCCTCCCAGCACAGTGTCACAGCTCCCTCAGGACCCCAGGGGACACAGGGACCTGCAGGAGGCTGGCTGGGGTCTGCACAATGGTGTGGAGCACAAACACAGCAGGAAACTGGTCCAGCAGCTCAGCCCAGCCATTCCCCACGGCACCTGCAGCCCACAGGGAAGGCAGGTGCTGCAGCACAGCCTCCCCCCCTCCCCTCTTCCCTCCCTCTCTCCCTCCCTCCATGGTGCAGCACCTGCGCTTCTCCCTCCTCCTCCTCCTCCTCCTCCTCCTCCCCTCCAGGCATGGAATGCCCCAGCAGGCTCCCTGCAGCACTCATTCAGACCCCAGCCAGGGCCCCCGGCACACGGGGGTCTCTCCTCTCATCCCCACAGCTGGCAGCAGTCCCTGGCTCACAGCTAGTTAATAAGTGTCCTAATTAGGACACAGCCTCTCCTCCAAAGCCTATTTCTGAACGCTCTGAATCTGGCGCTGTCTTAATGATGGATTGTTAATGAGGCCTCGGATCAATGTTCATATTCCTGGGGATTTCTACGAATTGCAAATGAGCTCTCTCCTGCCTCATAAGATTTATCTGGGTTAGTGGGGGGGAGCACTCACTCTGCAGGGCTGCTCCCCAGCACCCCAGAACGGGAGGGAACAATCCTGGAACCCTGGCAGGAGGAGGGGCCCGTGGCAATGCCCCCATCCAGCTCTGCCCCATGCAGCCCAGCAGCCTGGGGCCCTGCTGGAGCGTGCATGACTGCTCAGCAAAGGACAAGGCCAGGCCTGTCTGCTGACCGTGGGAGAGGCTGGAGCTGGGAGCAGCTTTGCTGGGAGCAGCGGTTATCACCGACTCGGGATTAGCTTTGCAAAGCCCTGGGCTAAGCACAGCCTCTGCTGAGCCCCACGCCCTCAAATCCTCAGCTGAGGGTTTGCAGAAGGTTTGGAGAGGGGATGGGATGCCCAGCCCTGCCTGCAGGTCTCACCTGACTGAACCGCTGCTCCAGCACCTCGTGTTCCCACTGAAGGTCCTTCAGCTCCTTCTGAGCGATTTTCAGATGGGCTTTGGAGTTCTGTGAATGGGAAAGGAGGATTAAAGAGCACAGGATTATCTGAGAAGTGTTGGAGATGTGTTCTGAGGAGGGAGGAGAGTGAACAGCAGAGAGAAAACCAGGCAGCAGCCATACCAACCCCACTGCTCTCCCTCCCAGTCTCTCTTTGGATCCTCATCTGAGATCCCACAAATACACAGCAAGCAGAACAGGACTTGCTTTGCCCAGCAATCACAGCACACCAAGTTGCAGAGCCCATGGAAGGACAGGGCTGGGCACTCACCACCAGGGCCTCCTTGTCCCTGTAATAGTTAACCAGCTTCTTCTGCAGCTCAGCCACCTGCTCCTGGGCCTCCTGCAGCGGCTCTGCCAGCCCCTTGTTCTCACGCAGCACATCTGCCTTCTCCTTTTCCAGCACAGCCTGCTTCTTCTTCAGCTCTTCCACCTGCTCCTGTTCTTGGGAACACAAGTGCTGGCTCGGGGGACTGCCCAGCCCCTCAGAGTGCCCCACACCCTCAGGACACCCTCCCCACTCATGTACAGGCCACCAGCAGCACCCACAGTGATACCTGGAACTGCCAGATGCAGCTGACACCCTTGCCAGTCCCTGGATGCAGGGGTGGCACAGGGGCAGGCAATACCTTCAGGAGGTTGATGAGGGTCAGGTTTTTGGGCAATACCTTCAGGAGGTTGATGAGGGTCAGGTTTTTGGCGGTGATGTCGTTGTAGTAGTTCTTGATGGCACCAAAAGCCCCCTCGTGGTTCCCTATCAGCTCGCTGATCTGGGTGTTCTTCCTCTCCTCCAGCTCATGGATCTCTGTCTTCCTCCGCAGGTCCAGCTCGTCCCGCAGTGCCTGCATCTTCCTCGTGTACTTGGCCTCCATCTCTGGGGGAAAATTGTCAGAGCTGGGGAAAAACTGGCTGAAACTGGGGAGGAAAAGTGACCAGAATGGGGAAGGGAGAAAAAACAGCCAGAACTGTGTGGGTTGGGACCAGCTGGAATTAAAACGGAAAAACCAGCCAGAACTGGAGGGCAAACTAGACTGATCTAGGGAGGAAAACCAGCTGGGACTTATGGGGAAAACTGGCCAGAACCTGGGTGGAGGAGATCAGCCAGAACTGGGGTGGGAAGCTGACCAGAACTGGGAGGAAAAATGGCCAGAAGAGGGAAGGGGAAAATGGCCAGAAATGCCCATGTGCTCAAGGTGCTGCTGGGGAACCAGGAGCAGCTCTCCCTGTCGTGCTCCTGTGGGATGTGCTCATGGCCTCACCTTTGGTCTGCAGCTCGAAGTCACTGCGCAGCCGGGACATCTCCTCCTCGTGTTTCTGTGAGGAACAAACTCCGTGTTGGAAAAAACGACCAAATCCCAAGCCAGCCCATCCCCAGGGATTCCCTCCTGCTCTTTGGGAAAGGATTCTGATTCCATGTTGATGCAAACAGTGGCTTGTAGTTTCTCCAGCTGCTCTCACAGCTGTGGAAGAGGGATCACCCAGGAATCCCTTCTCCCCATTCCTGCACCAGAAATCCCACCCCACCCCACAGAGAGCCAGGGAGGCAAGATCCCACTCCTGCTCCCATGCTGGGGATGAGGCACCTCACAGGACATACCAGGCAGAGCTTTGAGATGGCTGCTTCATTGGCCAGCTCCTGCTCCTTCAGCCTTGCGTTCAAGGAGTGCTTCTCCTTCCACATCTCCTCCTCCTGCTCCCAGTGATCCTTCTGGGCCTTCCTCAGGGACAGGACTCCCTCTGCCTTCAGCTCCGTCAGGTTCTCCTGCTGCTCGTGCAAAAGGTGCTTCACCTTCTGCTTGTACACCTAAGGACAGGCCAGGGACAGGTGAGGGCTCAGCAGGACACACCTGGAACTGGGATGCTGGTGAGACATCCCTGGATCGCATCCTGCCCAGCTCCTCCTCCTCTGGTCCTTGGAGGATGAGGAGGAGCATCCCCCGCCCCAGGCTCACCTGGAGCCCCCAGCCCCACCTTGATCTCCAGCTGGTGCCGCTCCTGCGCCTCCTCCATCTCGCGGTCCCGGGTGCGCAGCTCCGCCTTCCTCTCCTCCAGCTCGCGGCGGGTGATCTCCCAGTAGCCCTGGATGCGGTTACACTCCAGCTGGAAGGAGTTCCGCTCCTGCCGCTCGCGGTCCAGCTCCTGCCGCATCCGCACCATGTGCTGCAGCAGCTGCACAAACAGGGGAGCACAAAGGTGAGGGGCGGGCACAGGTGAGGGGCGGGCAGGCCTGGCACAGGTGCCTCTGCCGTGTCCCAAACCCGCAGGATGTGCTGGCTGTCACCGTGTGGGGCTGTGGAGGTCCTGACTAACCAGCAGCTTCTGGAAAAGGAGCCACAAAACCTCTTTGCCCGGGATGGGGCTCTGGCTGGCAGTGTCCAGTGACACCAGTGACACCAGTAACAGTGACACCAGTAACACCAGTAACAGTGACACCAGTGACACCAGTTAACAGTGACACCAGCAACACCAGTGACAGTGAATCCAGTGACACCAGTGACAGTAAATAACACCAGTAACAGTGACACCAGTAACACCAGTTAACAGTAACACCAGTAACAGTGACACCGGTAACACTAACACCAGTTAACAGTAACACTAGTAACAGCATTCCCAGGTATGGGAATAAAACAAGTGAGGCTCCATTTCCTTCATGCAGGAAAAGCCCAGTGTTTATTCACATAACCCATTTTACACAGTTTTCACAAACCTCGTGTGCAGCATCTGCTGGCTGGCAGTTTTTTACTGCTTTGTTTATTGTCAGAAGGTGATTTGTGTGTACGTGCAGAGGTGCAGGTTGTTTGCATTTTTCTTTGTGGGTTCTCATGGAACAGAGCTAATGTTTATGCAGGTCCCCTTATTTTTCACCCAAGAACAGGTTGTTATGTTAGCACACTATTCATTCCAGGTTAGTTTGTGCATGGGAACTTGCAAAGTACCAGCTGCACTCAGAAGAAGTGGCAGGCTAACAATCAGTTTAACAGAGCAGGCCTGGCTTTATGAGGCCTTTCTTTTATAATTCTTCTACCTGTCACAACACTCAGGTGCTTAGATACTTCTGGTTCATGGAATTGTTTGGGTTGGAAAAGCCTCTAAAATCAAGTTTAACTGTTCCTCCAGCAGTGGCAATGCCAGCCCTAATCCCTGTCCCCAAGTGCCACATCCACATGAGTCCTAAATGCCTCCAGGAATGGGGACTACACCTCTGCCCTGGGCAGCCTGGGCCAGGGCTGGACAGCCATTTCCAGGAAGGAATGCTCCCAATATCCAACTTCAACCTGCCCTGGCCCAGCCTGAGGCCGTTCCCTCTGCTCCTGT